ACTAATTCTGGCTTTTACAAAGTCTCTATAGCATATTGCAAATTGGGGCCTGTTCTTCCTGTCAGAAGCATGCACAAGTACTTTTCATATGAAAGAGAGTTTGCTGCACACAACTGACAGGATTATCAGGCCCATGGTATCACTTCTGGCCCTTTTCAGCAATACTGCTTTCCAGGTTATTCCCTTCCAATGAATACCTGTTTTGGATCACTGTCCCTCAGATGTTTTAGCTTGCATTTTCCATACTAAATCTCATTTGTATCCTCCAATAATGTGTCTCATTTCTTTAGACGACCTTTTTTTTTTTTAATTATTTTTCTGCCATCACTTCTGTTTGCAACTGTTCCCAGATTATCATCATCCACTAATGTCATTAGGGTGCTATTCACAAAGTTCATCAATACAGACATTAAGTATGCCTAAAATGGCTAAATTTGCCTTGCTACATGTGTATGTAAGCACTCATGTTATTCTTTCAGACCTTAAAACTGCAGTGACTCACCAAATGTATTATACATACTGTCCTCTATGTTTGATAATGGTTCTTCATGCCTTTTTTCACTCAGATGATTAACTAAATACATAAATAATATGATAATGAAAAAATGGAAAGATGTATTTGAATTTTAGTAAAACATGTAAAATACTAATACAGCTACAACTTTCCCTTAGTCCACTAGGGCCTTGCCCCTTGTCATCAGACCTGGTGAACAAGTCAGTCCTGTGCTCCTCCATACTCTACTCACGGATCTAGGTACAGATGTTGCTACAGTATCAGATGCTAATTTTAAACTCTAAACAAGAACAAAGGCCTTTTTTTTTTAGTAGTAGTTTTGTTTGGAAAATTCCAAGCTGCTTATTCTTGTTTTTTCAATATATGGTCCATTTTAATAGAAATAGTATTTAGAACCCCCACAAAATTATCTAATTCTTCAGCTTATGTTTCTTTTTTAGTAACCAGTACTATTATGCTGTTTCCTACTGGCATCTTAGAGATCAAATGACTTACAAATACCTTCATATGTTTCCAAGTACTCTCTCCATTTCTTGTCAGCAACTATTTCATATCGTCCTGACTTTTAACTGCTCGCACTTTATCATCCTATTACATATGTAATTTTAGGAAGCTAAGAATAATAGCCTTCTTTATAACAACTTTATTCCCCTTCTTATTTATAAACTGACTTGTTTTCTCTCTAATTCCACTTTCCATTGGCACCTAAATATTTACAAAAACATATTCTTACTCACTTTTAACTAGTATTAACCCATTTCTGTGGGCTTCACCAGCTTACAACACACACTTGCTTCCTATCTTTCAGAAATTTTTTGCAAAAATTCAGAATGAAGCATATGCCACCTGACGGTCTACTATTCCTTTCACATAATTCATCTTAAATCATATAAATAAAAAAGTAAACTGATTTTTTTATTTTTAAGCATACCTAACTTGCACATTTAGTTTATAAAGTCCCCTATCTACAAAGAATAGATGAAGACCCATAAAAGAAACAAATGCATCTCTTAGGCTTACAGGAGGACTAGTAGAACCTTACACACACACACACACACACACACAGTCACATCAATTTTTTGTAGGACTAACCCCATCAGCCATTAACATGAAAAACAAAATATTTCATGTTAAGTTCCCTTTTACCTACTGTATGTTTACCAACCAACAGAAATATAAAAGCATGCCTGCATTACCAATATTCACATTTATTACCCCATACCAATGTATTTTCATAACATTATAAAATAATCTTTAGAGAAACATTTGGAAAATGCTTGACTAACTCACCTCAGTTGAGATGAAACATCTAATTTGCACTACATTCAAGGGAATTACCTACAGAACTACATTAACAAGTAGAGTCTATCAATGGTTATCTGCACTGTGGCTTTTGACTGCTCACTAAGAACCACAGTGCATAAATTACATCACCTGTCAGCCAGCTCAAAGCAAGGCAAGCACAAAGTTTCAATAGTTGAGACTTTCCCTATTATAGATAACTTTTTCCAGGAGTATAAAAAAAAAAAAAAAAAAAAAAAAAAAAAAAAAAAAAAGAGGGCAATACAACAGAAAAGGGATGGATGAGACTTGCCTATCATACATTCAATTATCATCTATGTATAACCTGGCAGAACTATATCAGAAATTTAAGACTCAAATCTTTAATGAAGACTAATATGCCAAAGAGATGCAGAAAATTCCACAGCAATCAAAATGAAAACTACTTAAACAAAAAAGATGCCACACTTCACAACTGCCCAGGAAAAAAAAAAATGTTTTGCACAACTTTTAGCCAGGAAGACTACTAATGTGATACAAATAATTCAGCTTTCTAAACTATTTAACCAGGAATTTTAAGTCAAAATGACTGTGTTACTAGAGATAACTTAGCAAAACAACCAAGTGGTCCATGGAGTTTGAGATCTTATCTCAGTCAACATGGTATGCGGGATGTTTCACGGAAAGAAGCAACCTTCTATCATCACAAAACATCACAGATTCAAATTTGCAAATATATTTGTGTAGGTGCACATAACTGAAGCCATCTGAATACAACAGGATTGTCTGCCATGCACGTCTCTAACTTTATAAGCAAAGATACAATGTATGATTGGATAAAAATTTATATTAAAGTTAACATGCCTCAATATCTTTGGCTATGCTTGCAAATTCACTGCAATAGTGAAGCCCACACTAGAGTCATACCCTTCTTTTTCCCCAAAGGTCAACAGTTCACTAAAATCTAGTCCTATAAGGAACCTCAGTTTATGTTCTCCAACAAACACAGATAAATAAAATTCTTTAACAAAACCATAACTAGAGCATATTTTTGTGTTTCCCTATAACCAACCCCCTACATACGAAAGCTAAATGAAGACTAACCTAGCAGATATGTAAGCATATATGTGTGTGCATACATATATACATATATATATATATAGAGAGAGAGAGTCTCATCATTGCATATGGATGGAGATGAACTCATCTAGGAAATACTTCACATAAAACTTACACTGTATTAGAAGCAATAGTGAGTGAAGCAATAACTCAAAAAAGCCGAACAACAGCAACAACAAAAAAATACAAACAATCTTGACAGTGTATTTCAGACTAGCCTGCATAAATCAGATATTATACAAAGCAGGCTTTTTAAAAATATTCACTTGAGCCATTTATTCATGTTTTCTTTCTAAATTCCACATAAACTTTTAAAACTTTTCTTTGCGTGTCACCATTCATACACACCTTTAGCAACTGCATTTTTAAGAATCTGTCAATATCAGCATGTTGACAATAAAAATAATTTTTTGTGGGTTCAGTCCAAAATTTAAAAGTAGTATCTTATTTAAAATAGATGGCTATTGTATGGCTAAATTACCATTGTTTTAATTGTGTTAAGCATCACAACATATAAGCATATTCAATATGCATATGCAATATAAACAACATATGAGCTTCTACTGCAGAAAATAGTAGAACATTTCTAAAATATGTAAATAAAGGTTAAATAAACCATCATTTTGCAAATGACATGTAAAATCTAGTCAAGTTAGAGAATATATGTTCCAACAACAGAAAAAAAAATCAAAACATAATAAAATTTAAAAAAAAAAAGAACACTCTTTCCACAATCCAACATATCTTTTGCAACACTCTCCCAACAGTACATATTACAGGAAGAAAATAAACAACAAATCCTAAGACATCCTAACACAAGTTTCCCACTTCATTCCTAGGCCTACTAGCAATCACAAGCTTTGCTAAAGCTACTAACTATGGTAATTTTGTTTCTTGCTCTGGATATTAAAGAAATCGTACGTCACCACGCAGGAAGAAAAATTTAGTAACTACAGGTATGTGACAGAGGCTTCCCAGCCTTCCCTGTAACTCAAGAACTGCTCCACAGTGCTGTGAACTCTACAGCTTCATGCTGGAAGTCAATCTAGGACAACCAATAGAAAGTGCACCTGTACAATTACTGCATTTCCTAATTCAGAAGGCCAAACCCGAGACAGAGAAAGCTTGTGTGCACTCACAACACCAAAACACAAGTCCAAAAGCCCATGCACATTTTGTACAAACTGCACAACTATTTTATCATTAACTGCAATGAAAAAAATACCACACACATAATCCGAAAACATAAAACTGGATTCCTGAAACACTGTACACAAGGCTTCATTCTAAATTAAATTACTCATATAGGGCATCTGAAAAACCTGTACATATGACATTTAATTTTAAAAGCTTCAAAGAATAATCACCACAAGTTAATTGAAAGTAATTTCTAAAAATAAAATAAAAAAAATAGTAAATTAGCAGCAACACACAGAGTTATTTCAAGTATCCAATATAAACTACATGCTGCATTAACAAATAACCTGTATCACTTTAAGGAATGTAATCTTACTTTTAAAAATCACAGAAACATGATATTTTTCCAGTAACAGAAAAAATATATATATTATTTAGTTCCTTGTACTCAAAAAATAATGGCAATGCTTGCTACTATTAATTGATAACAACATGATTTACCCACAACAGCCTATCTTTCTGTAGATTCAATTTCATTCAGTGTGTAACCTCCCAGAGTAGTAAACAAGTTTACATATATGCACACATCTCACTGCTTCAAAATTAAACAAACTTTCAGTAACTACATTAATATGACCTCCTAGTAACTGTCCTTTAGCACAGGCATTTGAAAATAATCAATAAAAAATGCTTCTGACATATACTGCTTATATACTTATGATCCCTTAAAAGTTTAACGTTTACAAACGCAAAATACAAATATAACAATTGCAAAAGACAATCAGTTTTCACCGATCACTGCACCAGACCAATGAGAAATTCTAAGTTATTTCTGTTTCATTTTATTGCGTTTTTCAAGAGCTGGGGTATTTTTATTGTTGCACACATTAAAAAAAAATAAAAAATCCCATCCTCAATAATACTACTGCAAGAGTTTGGTGGCACTTACCGCAAGTAATACTGTTTTAAAGCGAAGGCAGCGTTAGAACAACTTCTGGGAAAGTTAAACTCGTCTACAATTTCTCCCCACTGATTCTTCTCAGATACCTGTCAAAAAAAACAACACACAGGCCGAGATACACAACGTACACGTAAAAACATCCTCCACGAGGAACATCACACGAAGAAACACACACTTCCACGAAGCAAATAGGTAAATATACAGAAAAAAAAGACATAAACATGTAGGTATGTGGGATATAGGGCTGTATTTCTTATTGACAGTCGCTAATATTCCTCCTCCAGCTACAATCCTGCTTCCCGGCGGCATTAAAAATACTAAAAAAATAAAAAATAACATAAATAAATGGAGGGGGGCCGGCCGGCAGGGCCGTATTGTTTGGGGGGTTGTTTGTTTTTGTTTTTACTGCCTGGACAATAACCAATCGGGAGTCCCTCTGTCGCCCCCTTTTAAATCCTAACGCGGTCCGTTAAAACAAGAAAAAGGGAAAAAAAAAAAAAAATAGGCCCGGCGAAGTTTAAAATGGGTCCCGGGCGGCGCGGCGGGGGCGGCCGCGGGGCCCCGGGCGGCGGGGGCGCCGTCCCGGCCGGCCCCCCAACACACGGGCACGGGCACACAGAGGCCTTTCTTTTGAGGCCTACATTTCTGTCCCCAGCCTTGAAGCCTAAAGATGGCTATTTGATTACACACCGTCTTGGGTGCCCCTTTTGTTATTTTTCTCGGGGAAAGGCCCGGAGGGCAGCGCCGGGCCGCCCCCCCGGCGCCGAGGACGGCTTCCTAGCCCACGCTCCGTGCCGATTATCGATGTTAAACATGCCCGCTAATTTTGAGTTGCACTGAAACTGCGCTCCGACTCGCTGCCCGGCTGCGCGGGCGAGGGAGACACGGGAGCCTCACGCAGCAGCCGCCGCCGTGGCGGCCCCGGGGCGCCGGGCCGAGCCCGCCGGCCCTCGCCTCCCCCCGGCCGGGCCGGGGTAGGGGCCGGGGGGGCTGCGGGGAGCGGCGGCGGCCCCGCGGATCCCCCCCTGGAGCGCTCCGCCGACAAGGCCGAGGCACCAACCTGCCTGCCTGCTTCCTCCTGCCGCCCCCCACCTTCCCTTCCCGGCTTTAAATAGCACCGATCCCGGCCGGCCCGGCTCCCCCCGCCGCCCCCGGGGGTCACGGGAGACTTTTGGGAAGAGGTTAGTGGGAGGGAAACCCAAATTAAAACTTCCACTCACCTTCCCAAATCCGCCTAAAGTGGTGACTCTGGTGTAGAGAGCGTGAAGATCCAGCTCCTTCCCACCCACCACAGGGATCTTCTTAAAAGGAGACCTGCCAAAGGAGATACACACAAAACACCACAACTTGTCAGCTCTGCCCCCTTTTCTCCCCTCGCTGGGGCTGCCGTGTCCTTCAGGGAAGGGGCTGGAAGTTGGATCCAGTCGGTTTAAAAGCCTCCCCCCCTCCCGGTCCATCTCCCCATTTTCCTCACCCTCTGCTGTGGTGAAACTGCCGCAGCTCGTCCAGGAAAGCGAGTCCCTTTCTCCGCTGGTCTGCGTGGTTTTTACCCGTCGAATTTGCCATTTTTGTAGTAAAAAAAAAGGTGTTCTTGAAAAAAAAAATCCAATTAAAAAAAAAAAAAAAAAAGAATACCGACGACAACAACAACAATCCCCGGCTCCTCCTTGTCTTTAAGAGACCCAGGTGCCCGTGCTCGGCCGGGGATCAGCCATGGAGAGGGGCTTGCTTAAAAAAAAGTTTAAAAGGAATAAGGGCGCCCAGAGAGTGTGGTAATTGCGAGTCCTGTCTCCACACAACACACGGGCGGCGAGGCAGGGAGGGGAGAGGGGCACCTCTCCGTAATTCCTCCTCCCGCTGCCGCTGCCTCTCTCTCTCTCTCTCTCTCTCTCTCAGCACCACGAACCCAACCGATCCAGCCTGCACATGAGACTCAACATGGTGCTGCTGGATCACACAATGAATTGGGTTACTGTTGTGGTGGGGTGGGGGGGGCGCGGGGGGGGTAGGGGGGGAGCCGGAGTGAGGTACTGACAGTGTGTGTGTGTTACGGACGCGGCTCCATGCAGCCTCCCTCTCCCTCGCTCGCTCCCTTCGCTCGCTCTCTCACACACACACGCTGCGCGGCGGCGGCGGCGGCGGCGGCGGCGGTGGCGGCGGCAGCGGGATTCACTTCTCTTCCCTCTCAGACAAAAAGATCTGAGGCCGCCGTGCTCCTGCCTGGGCGAGAGCGCGACACAGCGGGCCCCGCCGGCCGGTGGCGGTACTGCAGGCGGCCGCCGGCGCGGCGAGCGGCAGCGCCAGCGCCGCCGACGAGTTCCTGGCGGGGAACAATAGGCTCCTCTCTCGCCCGCCCGCCCGCCGCGGGCTCCTCCGCAACGTGCCGCAAACTTCGCGCGCACAAAGCGGCGCGGCGCCCAAACGGCCGCTCGCGGCGGTTCCGGCCCGCGGGCCAGCGGCGGCTCTGCCCTCGCTCGCTCCCTGCCTGCCGCCCGGCCTCCCCGCCCCGTGGCGGCAGCGCCCGCCGCGCTCCCCGCGCGCGCTCCCGGCGCGGGGGGGCCGCAGGAAAGGTGGGCTCGGAGCGCCGCGCCGAGCCTTTTAATTGGACTAAATCAAACGCAGTGAGTGCGGGCGGAGGGCGGAGCGGCGGCCGAAGGGGGCACCGGCGGAGCTCTGACTTTTGAAAAACTTTTGGGCCCCCGCCCGAGGTGGCTCCAAGGGCAGGAAGTCCCCCCGCCCCCCCGCAGCCGCTGCCCGCGCCGGAGAGCGGCCGCCCCCGGCGCTGGGACGGTTGAAACTTCCCGCAGAGGGACGTGGGGCCCTTGTCCGGGCCTGGGATGCCCCGCGTGGGCGCGCGGGTGGGAAACGGAGCCCTGTCCTCCCTGGAAATACATATGTGTGTGTTTATTTCCTTTCCCGTGGAGATAGCACGGCCCGTAGTTAACTTCAGGGCTGCCCCGGTGAATCTAGGCCTCATGGCCGGGCTCCTCGCCCTCAACAGGCGCTGGCGCCACGCGCTGCTCCGGGCCCGGGTCCGGCTCTCACCCAGGGATGGAGCCGCAGGTGGGCACGGGCCTGGGCCCCCGGGGACACGTTTGGACCCCACAACCCATAGGCAGAAATGCAGGGCCGCAGCAGGCCCGCGGTTTCCCCTACACACAGGTCCCTGTTGAAGTCCGTGAGGAACCGTGTTTTAAACTCAATGGCACATTATGGCCCCAAGTGAGCACTTAGAACTGTAATTCCTTTCTACTCCATGGACTAACTTAGTTCAGGAAATAAAACATGTATTTTTTAAGCAGCTTTTTCCTTCCTCCCTTTTTGACTTGAGTGCTGTTTCAGCCCGACGATAACCATAGAGACAGCGAGATCTAGTAAGATGCTTGGTAAGATTTGCCCTCGGGTCGCACTCATGGCCAGGGGGGCAGGAGGAGGAGGGATAGAAATCTCTCAGCATCAAATTAATACTCAGCATGGAAAGTCACCCTGCGTGTGTGGACGAAGCGGCGGCGGTGTGAATTTTGGGGCAAGAAGCGCAGTTACCTGCTCAGCATGGCATTGGGAAACCCTTTAAAATCTGTGTGTGTTAGTAGTAGCTGGGGACGAGCAGCTCCCAGCCATGGCTCTTCCCGGCTCCCACTGCCCGGCGGCTGTGCCGGGGCCCGGATAAACGCGCACGGGAGCGGCTCGGAGGACCGAGCGGGCGCGATGCCTCCCTCCCTGGCCCGGGATGAGCGGGAGGCAGCGGGCAGGGCCGGCGCGGCCGGGCACCAGGCAGCGCGGCCGGGCGCCGCACTCGCGCGCGGCCCGTTACGTAACCGGGGACTCCCGCGAGGGGGTCGCTTTAACTGGAGCCGCCACACGGAGCCGGCGGCCGCCGCCGAGCGGGCGGCCGAGCAGGCGGCGGCGGTTGGCGGCCGCGGCTCCTCACAAAATGGCGGCGCCCATGGAAGCGGCAGCCCCATTTTGTGCCCGGCAGAGCCTGTCAACAAAACGCCGACTTGGCCGCGGCGGAGGGAACAGAAGGCGGCGGCTCTCGCTCGCGTTACGGAGCGCAAGAGGGAGGAGAGCGCGGGATTTTCACCGCCCTCCCGCCGCCGACAGGAGACTTTCCAGAGCGCGCGGGGGGAGGGAGGAGGGAGGTGACGGCGGGACGCGGGCAGCGGGCGAGGCGGAGGCTGCGCGGGGGAGGGGACGCGGCGGCAGCGCCAGGCGGCGCCGGCGGCGGCTCCCTGCGCCCCGCACCGCTCGCCCCGCTCGGCGGCGGGAGGAAGAGCAGGAGGGAGCGGCCGCCTGGAGCCGCCGCCGGCGGGCGGAACGGAGCGGACGCCGGGCGCGCCCGTGCCGAGCGGCTCGGCGCCCCATGGCGGTTGGTGTCGTTGCGCTGCGCGCCGGGCGAGCGAGGCGCCCCTGGGGCTGCTGCTGCAGCCCGCGACGCTGCCCGCGGCCAGGTACCAACGGCCGCGGCCAGGTACCAACGGCCGCGGCCAGGTACCAACGGCCGCGCGGGGCTCCCGCCGCCCCGCGGTCGGGTACTAACGGCCGCGGCTTCGCCCTCGGCGGGCCCGGCGCCCCGGCCGCGAGGCCGGGCTCTCTGTCAAGCGTGCGGTGGTTTTATGGCGAAGAGGGGTATAGGAACGGCTAGTGAACTAAGAATTCTTTTTTTTTTCCCTTTTTTCCCCATTTTTCAGCCTCTGTCAGCATGCTTTTGACTTCTAAATAAAGGCGACTTCTAAATTTAAGGTAAAAGTGAAAATTACAATCTTTGCATACCGAAATTGCCGTGATAATAAAGTGTTATGGAATATCTCTTCTTTCTGCATGTTAACGGAATGTCTCTTCCTATTGCATGTTAACCGGTCATGGGAAATGTAGGTTAAAAAGCATGGGGGAAAAAAATCTTGCTGTAAAAAAAAAAATATGTTATTGATCTCTGTATAGTCCCTGTAATTGCCGATTGAATTCATTTTAAATGTAAAATAAAACCTGTTTGACTACAAGTTGTTTATATAGTTAATGTATGTGATGAATTTTGTTGTGTAAATGTTATGTGTGGAGTCAGCATTCCTGCAGACAGTGCACATGCAGTAATTGAATTGCCACTATTTGGTGCTTTTAAAAAAGCATAACCGTGTGAAATTCATTTTCTTTCCTAATAGCTGTATTCCTCTATTGTTGTTTCATTTTTTTTCCTCGTAAATCTTTAGTATTATTTGTATATTTACTACCTATTTGTGCAGCTGCTGCTATCCAGAGAGCAGGCCACGGTTGCTCTTGTCAGTGTGCTACTACCTTTGGTTCTGCTTTCTTACAGAGGAAATATTCCTGCCTATTTCAATTTTCATTCTGCTTGTTCCTCTTGGCTTGTGGCAACGTTACATTTTGATCAGAGCAACTAGGATCCCTAGCTGAATGTGGCTGACATTGAATAGCAAGCAGTAAATTCTTGGAAACTGCAGTAGGTGTTATTTTGTGTATGTGTGTTTTGGAAAATGCATTCTTTTAAATGAGCTAGAGAAGAACGTAAATGCACTTTTTTGTTTCCCTTAAGAATGCAAATAGTAGTATATGATTTAGGGATAATCTGAAAATAAACAGCAGAATTACAGGAAGAGCATTTGCTAGAGAAGCAGCAGCCAGCAACCTAGTGGTGAGTTCTGGTGACAGTCATCTGAACCTTTTTTAACAACAAATGTTAAAAGCGTTGGAGTTAACTGCATATTTTGGGCTAGAGGCTTCACTGTTTGCACAGCTTGCTGTGACAAATGTACTGTTTAACAAGGGGCGTTTACTCGGCGAGTTATTACCTCTACTCACTGAATAATAACTGAAATTCTTTTTTTGCTTTTCAATGTGCTAGTTGTTTTTAAAGAGGCTGTCACTTGGCATAGATGATGAGTGGCTGATCATCGATTCTACAGTATTTAATAATAAATTAAAGGTCTTGCATGTGAAAACAAATGACAGTACAGTAAGGGTGGCAAAGCAAAGGTGCACTTGCACCCTTGTACAAAATTTGCCCTGCAATTAGTGGAACTTATTACCATTGCAGGCTTGTTATACATAATCTCTTTTAAAAAAATTCAAGTGCATTTATATTGAAAATAACAGGCTTTTTAAGATGATGATTTAATGACTTGTGACATTTTCCTCCTAAATTGTTTTGTGTTGTCTGTCTTCCTTATTTTAACTTAATTTCTATTATTACTACTCAGGAATTAAAAACAGGTGGAAAGATAGACTACATAAACAGGCTCATAAATATCTAAGTAGACTGATTAAATGATTTCTTAAGTGTTACATGTGACTATCGTAGTTTTATTGTATTTTTCCAATACAGTTGTTTTTTGTGGGGTTGGGTTGTTCTTTTTACACAAAAAAATCGAGCTGTTCCATCAAGGAATGTTATGATCATCTAGGCTGTAAGTTAAAAACACTTAAACTGGGAGCTTTTCAGTTCTGCCGTGAAGTGTGAAACACAAAGCAGGAAAACCCTAAATGCAGCTGAAGGAGAAGTAAAAATAAATACATAAATGCACTCCCCCTAGGTTTCAAAATTGCGCTGCTTTTGAAATCATAATTCTTTTGTAGGTCCTGACATATGAGTACTAAACACTCGGGCTTGATAGTACATCAGCAATAAGTTTAGAGCGACCATTAAAGTCATGTGTTTTCCTTGCATGTAATGAGGCCAAAAATACTTGTTTCATCTCCTAGGGTATCATACCTGTAACACAGGCCAGGGCCTGAATGGGGGAAAATAATTGCAAGCCCTAACAAGTATTGGTCTGGAGCACAGTGGAAGTAATGGACATCTTGATGGCAAACTGGTGCAACTTTTTGAAAGGAAAACATATTTGCACTCAATAAATAACCCGAGTGAAGCCTTGGTTTGTGATTACCTGAGAGCTTGTGTGATCTGGTGGATGTTGCACCTCCCCTGCCACTAGAGCTGTGCTTGTTCCCTGAAATAGAGCCCGGGTGATTCATGTTTCTGGTTGGATGTGTGAAAGTTTGATTGAAATGCAAAACTGAGAGGGTTCTTTTGAATGTTAAAAAGGAACTGTGCTCAGAAAGAGGGAAACTAGCAAGTTAAATTTGGCTCAAACTTTAAAAGCTTTTATAGAGTAAGAATGGCGGTATCACATTGGGAGGGGGTTGTCTGGTTACTTAAAGCAAAAACTATAAATCTGATAACTTCTTCATAATATTTTTTAAAAGTCTAAATGATAAAATCCCCCTACTAAGAATTCTCAGTATAGGATCATCTACCAGAAATATTTGCTCATTATGCAGCACTGCGTTGTCTTTGCTTTTTGTTTTGACCAATTTAAGTGGCAGCCAGAGGTAGCCAAACACAAGAGAAGTTTCTCTTAAGTGAACAGTTGCCGTAGTTAACTCTTTATATTGGGATACAAGAAAAGGGAATTCAAGCAGCTGTAAGCATGTGGACAGGTGATACCTATGACAAATTATGCATTTCAATATATTTTGCAAAACCATTTAAAAAGGTAAATAGTAATGAAAGTGCTGATTAAAGAACACTGTAAGTTGGGTGAAATCATCCAAGTTAATCAAGTATTTTAAAACAAGTAAAATGTATGACTACCCCCAGGTACACTTTCAAAGTAGAAAAAAATCTTGTTTAATTGTGGTTCTCAGTCTATCTTTTGATGTTTTCCTTATGGAATCTGCCTTGCAGACCCGGGATGAATGAACAACATGCCATTGAATGCTGTTCTGTTGCCTGGATTAAAGGAAATTCTCTCATTGTCAGATCAGCTGAAAGAGGAAAAAAGCTCAAATTTACTGCCTTGGTTAAGTGCTGATGAAACACCCAACATGAAAATTGGACTTAAAACATTGGTCTCATGTTTAACTGCAGTAGTATCTAACATAACTGAATAAAGCCAGTGAGAAACGTTTCTGAAACTTTGCATATAAAGAGCTATCAAATGTAGTTGAGTATCAGTTCCTGTTGCTTGCAGTAACATGATAGTATTTGAAGCTCTGAGAGGAACCTGTGAGTCTTTTCATGTCTAGGTACCATAAAAAAGCTTTTTAGGCTGAGCAGCTGCTATCTCTGAATTTTGAATCCTAACATCAGGTGTGTAGTGCAAGCAGGGGATAAACAAGGATGCTTAGGAAAAAGAAAAAAAGAAAAGAAGTAAGGTATGTATTATTTTGTATATATCTTCCATCACCTGTTGGTCTCGGGCCTTCAAGAGCTTGTACCAGGATCACTAGGATCACTCCGTGTGAGAGGCACTAATGCACTTGCCTGGGAGAATGTCAAATATGCCTGACTGAGATGTACTTAGTGCTCTTCAGAGGAGTGTGAACATAAAACCCCCGAAACTTTCCAACCCCAGAATATGAGAGCTAGCAGCGTTAAAATGCATTACATGGAAGAGTCTGTTCAGCTTTGTTCTTCTCTCACTTTTGCACAGAGTTGGGCAGCTTTGCAAGCCAGGGAAGGATTTCTGCTCGCTGCAAGATTCCCTCGCATGTATCCAAGAGCAGAACAGAAGCTGGAAGAATTTCTTCAGTCCTGGTGAAGAAGAAGAGGAGGAGGAAAGAAAATGCAGATCTAGGCAAGGGAATGAGGAAAAACTTTCTGATAAAGTTTTAAGTGGGCCAGACTCTCTAAGGGGCTCTCAACACTGTACCGGGTGACTTCTGCTTGAGCTACAACTCCGTAGGTACAGTTAATACACAATTCATACTTCCAGCTGCTGCTAATTCAGTAATATAGCAATGTGGTTATTCACACTTGATTTGTATTCTTAAGGCCTTCTTCCTAGTTCTGGATATTTTGTTTTAGATACAAATTTCCAGTGACCCAAGTCATGTGCTGCACAGGGACCTGTGTGTAGTATATGACCCAATGCAAACAGTAGTGCTAGGTACATTTTTTTTGGTATTCCAGATCTCGTGGTGAGGTCTCCCTGAACGAAACTTCTTCCTATGTCAGTTCATCTTTGATCAAGTTACTATAATGTTAGTTTACAAGGTCAGGATGGATTTTGTTTTTAATGCTGCAAGTTTAGCTAGGTTTATAAGACAATAAAAGTGAGGTAAGCCTGTCTGCGAATGAGCACCTTCGAATATTATGCTTGATCTGCTACCTGCATTTTAATAAGTCTGGGCTCATGCTTTGCTCTGCTTTAACTCAAAGAAAGGGAAATAAGGTGGGTCATAGTTTTTCCTTCAAGAGACTGCCAAGTTATTACAGAGCCCCCATTTCGTTCCTTTGGAATTAGCTGTGCTTAGCATGTATGGAAATGGAGCCGCATGTCCTTAATCCAGGTGTTTGTGTCACATTTGCAACAGTCCACAAAAGTTACAGCACATATTGGAAAATGCAAGTTTCATGCGTTGTTTAAACGATGTGCTAAGGAATCCTGTCCTTTGGCCCAAATATGCTAGTTAAGCTTTCAGAGAGGGCTTCTTCATTTTAAAATTTTGAGTACCTGTGGCTGAGGTCAAATTCATATCAGGACTGGTTTCTTTTATTTGCAGAAAAAAATCCATCTCCTAAATAACTTCATTTGTCAATAATCTCCCGAGTTTAAATGAAAATCCAATAGTCTCTATCTGCAGCCGAATATTAAAATTATATATAATTACATGCAAGCAGTATAAAAATACTGATATTGAAAATTTCAGTGCTCGTTACTTAACAGCTTTCCATGAGCTTGATGTCACACGTGTGTGTTATGAGACTCCCATTACGTGGTATCACACTGCCCCCTTCCCCCCAGCCACTGGATCCTTCCTGCAGTTTGAGCTGCCTCCTGCTCACTGAATTAGAGGAAGCAGAGGATGTGCCTCTATCTCATGATGCTAAACCTTGATCTGAGTACAGAACTTGTGCATTTCCTTACAGCTTTTCTAGAATAATCACTAGCAGAGCAGCTGAATGCTTCGCATGTATTAATGAGTTCTCAGCACTCTGAAATAGCGGCATTACCATCACTGTAAAACTGAGAAAGCTGAGGCACAGCAAGGCATTTGATACAAAAATAGCTTCTAACTTTGGGTGCTCTTCATTTAATTGGCTATAATGGAAATAATTTACAGGTTACTCAGTTCAGAAATGGAGGTGCTAGCCATAACTTCAGAGCCACGTTAAGTTAAGCCATGAGGTTCCTGTTTCACTTGTGCTTTTCTGCTGCTCTGGCTGCAATACTGGGGCTTTCCTATTGCAAGCCTATTGCGAAGCTCCCTTCCTTGAAATGCTTGAAGTGCCCAGAAGCAGCACTGGTGGAAGCAATATAAATACTCTAGATAAAGCTTGGTATTTCTCATTTTAGTGTCCAGAAGCTCAAATTTGGAATTTGGAGAATGAGAAGCACTTCCTTAGAGGACATCAGTTGGATATGAGAGACTTGCTGCTCGACGTAAATCCCTGAAAAACAAAAGAATGGACTCTGGGTATACATAAGCATTAGGTATACATATAACATTAATTTCCTTTAGCATCCATTCCAGCATCACTCATTCTTCCCCTCCCCAACAAGGTCTACATTTTACTCCCTTGGTGTGGGCATCCATCCTTCCCACATCTGGATGCCAGAAGAGGGAACAAGGAGAACAGAGGAGCCCCAACCTTAACTCTGGTCCTGGGCCCCACCGCTGCCTCAGATGGGACAGGACCTACCTGCAGCATTGCTAATGCCACCTATTAAAAAAAAAAAAGAGAGAAAAAAAATTAGCTTCTGATTCTTATAAATGAGTTTCTTTTCCTTCCCCTTTTTGCTCTGCATGTGCAGGATGGGATTCAAAAGCTTAATGCTTTGTCTTGATGTTCAGTAGGAGAACTGCCCAAAAGGCATATCCCTGATTCAAAGTCTATTCTCCCACTAAATTTTCAAATCCTAGCTTCAAAGTAAAGAAATCGGAGGCCCTTTCAAGTACATTAAGAAGGTTTTTTCTTGTACTTGAGTAAAAATGAGAGGTTTTCTTTTTCTTCCAGTTTCAATTCTTAGATTTACCTGATCACTTCTGGTTGAAAGTTTCTTTTGAAACATCAGCTTGAGGCAGACATCTGGCCTGGAAAACGTCACGCCAAATAGTTGAAAGTTCAGACAAACATCTTTAGTTGCTTCTTGTAATAAGGTGTCTTTAAAACAAAAGTACTATGAAAGTTCAGTCTGGAAATATCTTTTAGTAGCCGTTTTGTTGCATTTGAATTTATAGCCACAACATTTAGAGTATACAACCTGCAGTGTGATTGCAACATACCTGGAAGCTGTGCTGACGTACAGGAATTCAGCTGTCCTGGGCTTCTCCCTGTTGATTTGTCTTCTGCAATTTCCAGAGCCCTCTTTCCATTACTACCCTGAAGCAGACACACATTGCAATTTTGGAGTGATTTAGGATCATCCCAACATAATGTCCTGACTAATTGCTCAGGAGAACACAGCTGTATGTATAGTCAGGACATAAAGGGGATATAACAAGTGCTGTACCTGTAATCAAAGTAGTGAAAATATTGACTTTTGTGGCGACTTCTTCAAACAGGTTTAGGGCTGCAAGGGACCAAAGCAACTGTGTGGAGTTAGGTGGATTTAATGGGCCAGCTGAACCTGTGTGAACCCTTTGCTACGTCACATTCCCTGCTGCCTACGGTGTTGCTCTTGGAGAAGAGATCCGCAAAGCAGGGGATGAGGTGTTTGGGGGTGGAACTGTCCTCGGTTCAGCTGTGGTCACAGCATCTCAGTCCAGAGCACCCAGAACAGTTTGGTTTACTAACCTGATGTCCCAGAAAAACTCCCGAATTACTGTTTAGTTCAATATTCTCTGCTCAGGAGGCTCTGGTGGTTTCACAGCAAAGAAAGGCTTTGTGTAGGAAGTGCTACCTGCTGTCTCCTTTTTGCTGTTTTTTTAATTGTTTAATTTAAAGGAAGGTGGATGAGCATAATATTAAGAGGATTTTGTCCTCACTGTGGTGCTACTGACTTTAGGTAGGTGTGAAAGCCACAGAAGAGCTTCACACAGCAGTGTGCTTTATTTGTCCTTATCTTGTTTCCACCTCATTCTCAGGAAATATCCAATATGTGTCTTGCAGCAGTGTAGTTGGGGCCCCTTCCCCTGCCAAGGGCTACCCTGTGGTCGCAAGGCTCTTGTTATGTACAAATGAAAACAGGGCTGAAGGGGAGGGAAAGTTTTCCCGTTCTTTTTTATATGGTCTTCATAAACGCAGTTACTATGAAATTAAAAGTTTTATGGCATAAAGCTAATAACATTGTTCTATAAAAATTCTCTGTTAAGTATTCCAGTGGGTATTGAGAAGTTGCTACTGGGAAGGCTCACCAAAGGGCTACTTTTTGGTGCTATTTGGCCGGGGGAGGCCGCAGAAATGAGGACTTCCCTGTTGGTTTGGGCTGGTGTCAGTGACAAGGTGTGTGAAGCACCCAGCGGTGCTGGCCACGCTGTCCTGCATCGCTGCAGATGTTCAGCGCCAGCTGGAGGGAAACAGGCAGTCTGCAAGCAAGCGCTGGAGGCAGCTTTGTTATTCCTCAAGAAAATTTCAAAGAAGGTGAGAGGATGTGAAGTTTGCAATTTTTTGAAGGAAAAAAAATGCCATTTTTTTTCCTGGCCTTTTAGGTAGTTCAAGAAATGTTTCCCTGACAAAAAAACATTTAATGGTACATGATGCCTCCTAAAAATGTGCCCTGCATACTTCAAGGTCACAACTTGCCATGCCAATGTTTCTATTCAGGTGTCCTGAACATAAGTTGTCCTGGCTGTTTAAGGAGGTTCTTCAGCGTTACAGTGGCCAAAGGGACAACTTAAATACTGCTCACAGGCTATTAGGAACACATACAAAAAACAGCAAAAGCAAAGCCACCAGTAACAAAACTTATTTTAGTTTAATTTAGTATTGCTTCGATAAAACCTTAAAGAGGGGGTAGCAACACACACTACAAGCTTCAAAAAACACAGCACTGTAACGCGCCAGTGAAGTTACTGCCAGTTTTTTCTCTGACATTGAGAAAGGCGGCAGCAAACAGGCAGGTACAGGTGCCTGGGTGTGACAAGAGCCCAGGGCACCGCAGAGCAGCTATCTTGGGTGGCACATTTTGAGTGCAAACTATCAAATGTGGCACCGCGCAGGCCTGGCCCGGCGCGCCGCTGCCCTCCACGTATCAGCACGGGAACAGGAGCTCTTGGAGTCGCAGCTCCGGTAGCTTTTCCCTGGACCTGAGCTCACGTCTGCGTGGGAGGCTGTTGGAGTGGGAGTCCTCCACTCAAGGGTAGTGCTCGGAAAAGGGTCATCTCAAAACCGGAGCCCTGGGATTCTGTGTAATGTCTTGTGGATGATAAAAGCAGTCAGGACTCAAGCACTGAGAAATAATAGGTGTCTGTCGTGCTCGGCTCTCGTTCACTGGGCAAAGCTGTTGCCAGTTCACAAATCCAAGGAAGCGGATAAAGATACTCCCAGAAAAACTAGTTGGATCTATATTCTACAATAGTGTTGCCATTTTTTTTTTTAAGGTTTAGATATTCTAAAATACTTGTATTCTGACTTCTTTAAAAAGGACTTTTCAGACTTTTATGTGGGATGGAAGAAAGAAGTGTCTTGTTAATGCTGAAATGCAGATTTCTTTCTTAATATATTTGGATGTAGACTTAAATGTAAAATACACAGTAAACATTTATAGCGTTTGAACATACATGCGAACATCCTAATCAGGCTCATTATATTCCTTGAAGCATCATTTATGCAGGAAAGGGTGTGTGGAGGAGAGATGGGGGAATTGTAAGGAGCTCATACTTAAATTTTGCCCTCACATTTTAGTCACTTCTTAAAAGCGCACTTCAGCTTCAGTGCAACTTACTAGTGACGGGCATGGTGTTATATAATTTAAAAACACTTTATCATTTTGCAGTAGTTATTTAACTTACAGACATGAACAATAAATACAGTTTTGTTGTTTGAATTTCTGCCCGTCTAATTGTAATGAAAGCAGAAATGGGAGCTGTGCAAACATTAAAGTATAAAAACAGAGCCAGCAATTTATACAATCCACTGCAATGACATTTTGTTAAACACAGACTAGCTGCCATAGGGAGTAGCTTTTGAATTGTCTCTGCCAAATTATTTATTAACTTAAGGTTCAGCTTACCCCACCTTCATCCTCTTCTTCCTTCATGTTGGCATTAGCATTCCTGCAGCTCCACCACAACCTTAAGCAACCAATCCAGCTGAAAATTTAAAGGGCAAAAAAGTTTTATTTTAAATAAAATTGTTACCTAATGAGATTGACTGTCAGAAGGGCAGTGTCAGCGCCGGAGAGGGTAGAAAAGAGCCGTGTGGGGAAGGCAGGACTCCTCCTTTTAGTGCCAGATCAAACTGAACACAGAACCACAGAACCATGGCCAGCGTGTCAGCCTGTATCTGCAACCAGCTCTCGTGCTCCGGAGCACTTAGAGCACGGCATGAGCTGCACATGTCCAGATCTGCAGTATCTGAGCCTGGGTCACTGCCTATCTCTGTGGTCACAGGTCTGTGTCCCTCCTAGAAACATCACTTCTTTTAAAATGAAACAGCTGATTTATAGATTTTTGAATAAATGAATTCTACCCTTTTTCTACTTTTAAAGTTTTGCTTTTAAAAATCTAGTGACTGAGAAGCAGCCCAGAGTTTCTCATTCCAGAGAAGAGAACTAGTCAAGGCACACATTTCTCACCACATATAATGTGAATCCATTTAGCTGCTTGGCAGCATGAACTACAGTTTCTGAGACTGAGGGTGAATAAAAAAGCTCCAAAGTCTTCAGTGAAATTACCCATAGCTATATCATCTGTGAATACAAATAAGAAACTTTTAACATCACACCGTTAAGAAATGAGGGCCTCAATTTACTTAATTACAACTGCAATTGCAAAATTGTGACCTCACATTTGCAATACCAGTAGCATTGATTTGATGTGAAGTTTCTTTCTAGATTTCTTAGTATTTCCATACCATTCAGGTTGTATTTTCTATTGGTGTGTTCATCTGTGGTGGGGTTTTTTTTTTTCTGTTTTTTTTCACTCTTCTGTCTGTAGGAATGAAGAAGTCAGACTTCTAAAGGAAAAAGACAGCAGCTTGGGAATTCAAACTTTATCACCATATTAGAAAGGTGAAAAGAAAAGTATGTCTTGCAGTCTGTTCTATAGGGTGAGTCTTTGTGCTGCTGGATTTGGAAAGAGTTGGAGCATAGCTGTGTGGTTGTGTAACCAAATGGTGTAGCCAAAGCTGAATTTGTCTTAATGCTCTGTATGTAGTTAATCTCAAGTACATATGTCTTTTGGACACTTTAGTGTTTTTCCTGGTTCAGTTAACTTTTTATCTACTTTTTTTTTTTTTTTTTTTTAATTTTTCCATTATTTCCCCCTCAACATTCTTTCACTTCATGTTCTTGTTTAGGGGGAACTCTTGTAGTTCCATTTTCCTTTTCTTTTTTGCCTTCCATGGAAGCCTCAACTTCTCCTGTGCTCAAGGCCATCTCCAAGGCAAATACTTTATTCGTTTTCCACTTTGGAAAGCTCTACATTCAGATAACAACCACCAGCCCTTTTGGACACACTGCTTAGGAAGTTCAAGAAGGCTGAAATCAAGGCAATTAGGTGCTTCTACTGTTTCCATCCTTGTGGCTATTTAAAAGGAAAAGAGGAAAAAGAGGTTTGGGTCTTCTATTAGGTTTTCTCTTTTTTTTTTTTTAACTCCAGTTCAGTTTGCTGAGTTGCAAAAACAGGCATTTTAAAGAGGATGCACCTGGTAGAATGGTTAACTGTGCTTTTTATTTCTTTTTCAGGACAGTTGAGGTACAACTGTCCTGTGCTATTTGCAACAAAACAGAAATAGAAAACTAACTTTCTTTTTAATGCAGCATGTCCCTGTGGGATGGACATACACTATACAGAAAGTAGGTCGAAAAAGCATTTTGTCTATGAAGACCTACCTTTTTATGTTTTCCTTCTCTTTCAGCCTCTTTCAACCACAGAATGTCGCACTGCCATTGAAGACCTAACATGTTCAAGTCTCTAGTCCTCTGGGTTGGAGAGAGGTTGAGCCTAAAGAGAAGCTACCATGTTTGCTGGATATGTTAAAAGATTGGGATTCGGAAGTAAGTTTTTCTCCTCAGTCATTAAGAATGACAAGAAAGGAATGTGGGACATCTATATGTAATTACAGACATATATATGTCCATATACATTTCTATTTTTCTATAAATTTTCTATGCATGAGTTTTAACATATACCTATACTCTTCAAACAGATGAGAGACTCTTTCCAGAGACCTGAATCTTGAAAAAATACTGCTTTCAATGAACATATTCTTCAGTGTAGAACTTTACTTACCACAATAAGAAATTATAAAAGAAAAAATCTTTATTATGTGAGCTAGAGGGCTGCATATGGGAAGTCAAGAATGGAAATAAAAAAAAAAAAGAAAACAAAAAGACTTATTTATCTCTCTTTTAAACAGCAAAATTTCCAGATTTTAGCTACAAAGTTCATAGTCTTCCAGCACAGCTGCTGAACTTTTCTAGGAATAGAAAACACTATATAAATAACTTTGTATTATAACTTAATTTTTCTGTCATTCAACTTCAGTTTCCACCTAAAACAGCTCCCAGTTCAGCATTTCATGTAAAATCAAATAAGTCAGATTCTTCAGAATTGCTGTGGCTGACCTGGAAGAAATATATCATGTTTTTCTCTACAGTGTAATCAGTGATGTCTCAGAAGCTCACATCCTTTTACATTTTTTATTTCACTTAAAATGGTAAAAATACATTCAATTCTCTTATCTCAAAGAATTTTTTAAACTTTTTTTTTCTGTTTACAATTCTAAACAATATCAGAAACAGCTGAATTGTGTATATCATGCTCTTTTTTTCATGTATGTTACTTCCCTATTCATGCTGAACCTCCCAGTTTGTATCCATGATACAAACACTTCTCTTTACAGACTGTATTTGTTATATATGGAACATATGATGTGCAATACAATATGATGTTCTGATTGTGGGATCTAAGTGTTACTGCATTTTATTTATTTATTTATTTGTTTTGAATTTACAACTAAGTTTAGTGATTAAATGAACCTTGAAGGAAATTATAGTACCTGGGCTTAAAGTGATTAAAGAGTTTAAGGAGAAAAAAATGATTTTTAGAATGGCCTTTTTCATGAACCTAGCTGTGTTTTCAGTGGCAGGGCCATAAGGAGACCACATTCTTACTTTTTGCTTCAAGTCCCAAATCTGATATCCTTTAACATTCACAGTGTTAAATTTGTCAATGAAGAGAGTGAAAGCATCATGCACTTGAAAAGCAACCCAGTGTCTGAAGGAATAGGAGTTGTAGTTTGAAGGAAAAGGAAAATCTGAGCCCAGATGAAGAAGTGAACCTGAGCTCTATATCGTATCCAACTTGTGGGTGAAGCAATTGAAGTACACTATCCTGCTCAAATATTCCTGAAGCTTGCCTGTAATGCTTGGAAAAGCTTTCTGAAATCACTTTTAAGACATTTTTAAGGAATGTATCTAACCTACCTTGCACTCAGGCACAAGACAGTTATCATGGAATAGCTGGGGAGGGAATGAGTGGGACAGCTTAATCTAGCTACAAAGGACTTTTGCTAATGAGAGATTTGGATCTGTATACATCTATCAGATAGTGCCTGTTTTACCTGAGATTTACAGCCTAGAATGCTGTCCTGATTGGTGTCTATGTCCTTTCACATAAAATATGACAAGGAGTCTTGGATTTTTTTAAAGAAAGATAAGAGGAGGAAGAGTTGTCATCCCTGTTTCTAATAAATCACCAGGGAAGTTACAACCTTCACCAAAGAAAACCCAGATTCTCTTTCAAGTGATAGACTATATCAGTATTCCCCTTGTAGGTCACAGGCAGGGTCTGTTACTCAAGATCAGAGAATTTTTCCCCTCTTGCATAGCATACAAGACAGGGAATGTCTCAAAGCAGCTTCTCTCAGTGACACTGCCAAGATGGAGTGGACTCTTACAGTGAATTTTAGTAGACAGCAAGTTGTTTTCTGTTTATTAAACACTGGAGATTTGTATGTGCCTCTACAGGGCTTCTGCAAAGGCCACTTTTACTCAGCAAAGTTTATAAAAGGCTGGCTGCTATCATCTCCTGTGCAAATGAGGGACCTTAGCTGCCTTAGAAGATGATGTATTTCTGATAAATGCTCAACGATCCATATGTCATTATTTTAGAACTAGAGAAGTTCAGGAACAAGGTTACATAAATTCAGAAAACTATGGCCAGAGTGCACTATGGGCAGAAAAGCTGTGTACTGGCAAAAGCCCTCATCCCTGGATCAGTTAGAGACCATTCTGGAAAGTCTTCCCTAGCAAGAGCAACTTGCACCCTCACTATATATCAAGACTTCTTGGGCACATGAGAAGTCTCCCACATTACCAGGAAGGCTCAATGGGAAGTATCACACTTAACATGGGAGATGGCATGGGAGCTGGTCATTTCATGCACCGGTTCATCTGATAAAAGCCTATCTGAAGTGGTTGCAAGCATATATTATCTTTTTCATCTTTGGCACTGATTGGTCAGTCCTAGAGCAGTCTGTCTTCCTGTGACACTGGTGAGTCATTATTCCGCATGGATAGAATGGCTCTGGTCATCTCCATAGTTAGCCCCAATGATCTGAGAAAGCCTCCTACTCTCCCTCTCCACTCCTAGTTGTGTTAGAAATGCTGAAGGTAGCACCTTCACCAGTTGATGAGTCAACTACAGGAGATGCTCTGCTGGACTTGTTACTGATGAACCAGGACAGCCTCATTGGGGAGTGAAGATTGAGGGCAACTTTGGCTGCAATGACCATTAGACTGTTTTGTTTAAAATCCTGGGAAAAGTGAGCAAAACAAATAGAAGAATTGCAACTCTGAACTTCTAGAGACCAGATTTTGGCTTGCTCAGGAATCTGCTTGGCAGGATCCCATGGGAGACTGCCCTGTAGGGCAAGGAGTTCTGTGACAGGTTATCTATCGATCTTCAGGACGGCTTCTTCAAAGCACAGAAATGATCTATTCCAAATCACAGGAAGTTGAGCAAAGTGTCAGAAGGCCAGTAGGAATGAACAGGAAAGTCTTGACTGAGCTCAGAGAGAAAAGCAAAGTGCACAGAAGGTGGAAGCAAGGACAGGCTGGCTGGGTGGAATATACAGAATTGTCCAAGCCTACAGAGAGGGGATTGGGGAAGTCAAAGCTCAGCTGGTGTTGAAACTAGCATAGGCAAATGAAACTAGTAAAGGGAGTAAGAGGTGATTCAAGGGCTCAATGTTGCAGTGGACCTAGTGACAAAAGATATGGAAAAGGATGATGTACTTAATCACTTTTATTTCTCTCCCTTTTCTTCTGTTCTTTTAAACTGGAAAGCTTTGCCCACAGGCCTGAGGCTAGTAGCAGAATCTGTAGGAGTGAAGCTGCTTGAGCACATAAGCTTTTTGAACATATATACATCCATGGGACTTGGTGGGATGCATCTAAGGGTGCTGTGGAAGCTGACTTGTGTCACTGTGAGGTTCCCGCCCATCAGCTTTGACAAGCCATGGTGAACAGGGAAGTCCCTGAAGTCTGGAGAAAGATGAATATTGTAGCCATCTTCAGGAAGGAAAAGATAGAAAATTCAGGGAACTGCAGTCTTACCAGCCTAACTGTAGTCTTTTGGAGAACATAGAGCAGATCCTCCTAGAAGCTCCTTCTGAGCCTATAAGGGCAAGAAGGTAATTAGAAACAGGCAGCTTGGATTCACCAAGAGCAAACTGTCCCTGACCAAGCCGGTTGACTTCTAGGATAAGATGACTGGCTCTGTGAACAAGGGTAAAGTAGTGGATATTGTTTACCTTGATTTTAGCAATGCCTTTGCTGAGGTCTTTTTATCTTTATAAATGAGATATGGGCAGTGTAAGTTAACAACAAAGTGGATGGAAAATTGACTGGACTGCCAGGCTGAAAGGGCTGTGATCTGCAGTACAAAGTCCAACTGACAGCTGGTTGCTAGTAAAGTTCCCCTGAAGGGATTAATTCTGAGGCCAGCACTGTTTAATGTCTGCACTGTTAACGATCTGGACTCTCAGGGGAGACAGTTCATTCTCAGCAAGTTTGTGCATGATACCAAATTTTGAGGGAGCTGTTGTTATGCTGGAGTTGCCCTGGTTCAGAGGCACCTGGGCAGGCTGGATGAGCTGACAGAAGCTTCATCAAGCTCAACAATGGCAAACACAAAGTCCTGCATCTGGGATTGAGTGACATGAGGAACCAGCACAGGCTGGATGGAGGTCAACTGCCTAGAGAGCAGCTTTGCAGAAAGAGACCTGGGGTCCTGGTGGACAAACTGATCATGAGTCACCAGCTGGGATAAGGAAGGTCAACTGCATCCTGGACTATACTAGCCTGCGCTAACAAGAGCCAGCAAGTCCAGGGAAGTAATCATTTCCTTCTGTTTGGCTCATATAAGACAGAAGCTGGAGTGCTATTCTGGATTGCCCAGTACAAGAAAGACATTGACACACTAGTGTGGCTGCTGCAAAATGTTGCTGAGATGACATGTGCTGGAGTACAAGGCATATGAGGAGGGGTTGAGAAAACTGAGCTTATTTAGCTTATAGAAGGCTCCAGGGCATCTTACAGCTGTCTGCAACTACTTAATGCATGGGAATATAGAGTTATGTAAGTTCCTGATTTTTCATGGAGAAATATAGTGATAGGAGAAAAGTTAATTGACACAAGTTGCAACACTAGAAATTCTAATGACATATTTGGAAAAATTCTTTTTTTCTGTGAGGACAGCTAAGCACTAGAACAGGTTGTCTATAAATGTTGTAGAATTTTCACCCTTAAGAGATAAGCAAAGCCCAACTGGGCATATCTGTGAGCAACCTGCTGTATTTGGACCAGCTTCAAATGAGAAGTTGAACTAGATGATCTCCACTTCCAACCTGGCTTTTGGAGGGGACAGTTTCTGTTGACAAATTTAAATTTGCATATTTAATAAATTTGCATATTTAATACATTTGCAGAGCTCAAGGGTCAGAGGTGAGGAATGTCCACATTTCAATGTCAAAAGAGGACAGCTGAGTTTAGATTTTGAGGAGTACAGTTATTACTGTAGAACCCTAAAATCTTCTGAATTTGTTGTTAAATCTGGCTCTTAATGCTGAACTTTGAAAAGCCTGGCTCAATATTCAGAAAGTTCATGCTTCTCCACTGAAAACCTTAAAGACCTAAGAGGATGATTAATCAGGATTAGTCTGAGTGACAAAGTCCTGTGGTCCTTAAATGAGATTGGAGTTGGGCTTGGAGCAGCCCTGTTCTTTCAGTGTAGGACCATATGTGACTGCAAATTGTAGTTTTCCTTTGTGGGTTTCTTACCTATTTAATAGTTAATGCCTACTTGTCCTTAGATGTACTAGCTAGTGTACATGGCTGCAAGTGGCACCTATTTGGAGTAAGATCATAATTGTCTTCTAACTGCTCTTAATTTTCATGTCCCAACCATTCTGCTTAATTTCTGCATTAGCAATGTTGTATGAGAATGCTACAATGCTGGCATCCAGATGTTGTGCTATTATATTCAGAGCTCCACATTCCAAGAAGAATTATATAAAATGAAAAGCTGATTAGTATTTTTTTAGTATTAGTATATTAGTATATTTGATTAGTATATTAGTGTTTTTTTTGATAAGAAGTCTGCACATTCTAAGCTGTGCTTGCGAAAATGCTAGCACT